ATGAATAAGGATGACTGGAAAATTGATGCTCTTAAGTTGTAGTGATAGAGAAGAGTATTGAACAAATCATGGACTGCCAAAAGAACAAACAGGTCTGTTCTGGAGAGAGTGAAACTAAGTTGCTCTCCTTGGAGGCAAGGATTTGGAATCTCTGTCTCACATACTTTGGACATATTACAAGGAGGGACCAGTACTTGGAGAGGGGCATCATGCTTGAAAGAGTGAAGGGACAGCGCAGGAGAGTAAGACCCAGGATGAGATGGATTGACACAGTAACTAGGGTACACTGGCAACAAAATGCAAGCCCTCAGGAATTGATAGAATACCAACTGCAAATTTTAACTGAAGATTATGTTATTCACAGGGTCACTATGAGTTGTAGTTAAATTGACAACATCTAAGAACAATAATTATGTAGTTTATCCTCTGCTGTCCACATTTCCTGTTATTTTTATATGCCATACAAGGGACAATATGAAGAAGAATATGTTATCAGGATTGGAGCAAGACTCATCAACAATCTGCATTATGTAGATGACATAACCTAGCTTGCAGAAAGTTAAGAGGACCTGAAACATTTCCCGCACAAGGTCAAAGACTTCAATATGGATTGCATCTCAAATCAAGAAACAAAAATATCCTTACCACTGGAGCAATAGGCATGATAGTCATAATAGAAAATGGACAGAAGTTAAAGAGTTAATTTTACTTAGATCAATAGTCAATGCCCCTGGTAATAGCAGTCAAGAAATCAAGGCTTATTTCACTAGGAAAATCTACTGTCAATGACTTCTTCAAAGTGCTAAAGAGCAACGATGTCAGTTTAAAGATTAAGGTGGTCCTGATCCAAGATATGGTATTTTCAATTACTTTCTATGCATCTGAAATTTGGATAATGACTCAGGATGATAGTAGAAGAAACAATGCCTTCAGATTGTTAGAGAAGAGGACTTTGCTTAATCAGTCATTTAGATGCAATAATTATCTTTGAGATTTTCTATATACAGGATCATATTTTCTGCATATATGGATAGTTTCCTTCCTGTTTGCTTTCAATTTCTTATCTTAGGTTCTTGCAATGACTTCCAATACAATTCTACTCAGCAGAGTTGATGACAAAGGACATTCTTGTCCGGTTCCAAAGGCAGCACCGTTTTCAAGGGTCTAGTTGCTGTCCCCTTTTTATTTGCTGCAAGTAAAAATAAAGTTTGGTCATCTGCATACCTGTTCTAAGTAATTACTGACTAGAATAAAAGGGAAGGACCTTTTCAGTCCAATTGGGGCTGCATCAGTAACAGCACAACTGTACATAAAGACACCAGGAAGCAGCAGTCAAGAAATCAAAGGTTTCTGTGAAGATGGTGCCAAAGTGAAGAAGGAAGCTCCTGCCCCTCCCAAAACAGAAGCCAAAGCAAAGGTATTAAAGGCCAAGAAGGCAGTGCTGAAGGACATCCACAGCCACAAAATAATAAAAGATCTGCACCCCAAAGAAGGTCAGCCCAAGATGCGGAGACAGAGCATAACACACTTGTGTTCATTGTGGATGTCAAGGCATAACATCAAACAAGCTGTAAAGAAGCTCTATGACATGGATGTGGCCAAGGTCATTACCTTGATTAGGCCTGATGGAGAGATCAGGCCTATAGACTTATTTCTATGAAGCTTTCCACGTTACAAAATAAATAAATAAATAAATAAAATTGAGATCATCTAAACTGAGTCCAGCTGACTAATTCTAAATACAAATTTTTCTCACACACACAAAAACAAAATAAAAGATAAACAATGGATTGCATTAGGCATATCAGCTATAAAATAATTCTTTAAAGTGTTAAAAACTAAAGATGTCACTTTCAGAACTAAGGTGAGCCTAATTCAAGCCTTTGGTATTTCACCTTGTATGTGTGTGTATGAAGTCTTTACAATGAATAAGAAAATCCAAATAAGAATTGGTGCCTTTGAATCATGACGTTGGCAAAGTATGTTGAACATGGACTCTAGAACAAACAAATCTGTTATGGAAGAATCACAGCCAGAAACAAGGGTAATTAGACTTCATCTCATGTTATCAGAATATGTTATCAGGAAGTGTAGTACACTGGGAGTTGTAGCCAATCAAAGGAATCCTGCAGTAGTTCTCAAGGGGAAAGATGGGCAGTCTAATCCCATGCCAATTGTTATTTTTGTTAAGTACTGTCAAGTACTCATAGCAACCCTATAAACAATGGATCTGAACCTTGCTGTAACCTGTGCCATATTCATCATCTCTGACATACACATTGTTTATAATCACTTTGTCTATCCATCTTGTTGAGGGTCTTCCTTTCTTTTGGTGACTCTCCACCTTTCCAAGTATAATGTCTTCTCTTAAGGACTGGCCTCTCTTAAGAACATGCCCAAAGTACGGAGGGTTAAGTTTCACCATTGTTGCCCTATATCAAAAAGAACTGGCTGACATGGAATCATTTCTGGAAGCAGCATATGATCAAGAGCCAGTAGTCATGAAAGAAGTTCAAGCTGCACTGAACACACTGGCAAAAAAATCAAAACAAAAAACCAAGCCTCTAGGAATGAATGAAATACCAATTGACATGTTTCAACACTCAGATGCATCCCTGGTGCTGTGCTTACCAGTGTGTGCCAAGAAATTTGAAGGACAGTTATCTAGTCAGCTGACAGGAAGAGATCCATATTTGCTTCTAATTCTCAACCATTATCACTAGTATCTCACACTAGTAAAGCCTTGCTGAAGATTATCCAAAAGGTGCTAGATAGAGAATTACAATTACAATGTCTGAAACCCCAATGAAGGGTCTTTAGCTACGCGTCAATTGCGACTCAACGGCAATGAGAGTCCCTGAAGGTTATTATGCTTGTTAAAAAGTTTTTTGAAAAGAGGAAAACCCTCAGTGAGTTGGATTGTCACAGTGGGCTCATGACTGTGAGGATCTGGTAGTGTATCCTGATGCAATGAGTTAGAAATGCCTGGAAGGCATCTAAGAATAACAAAGGTTAAGGCATTCACCAATGAGGATAGAAGAAGAATTGATGCCTTTGAGCTGTGGTGCTGGAGAAGAGTATTGAGAGTACCATGGACTGCTGGGAAAACAGATTCATCCTGGAAAGGGTTAAACCGGGCGGCTTCTTGGAGGCAAGGGTTCTGAGGTTCAGTCTAACATACTTTGGACATGTTGTAAGGAGAGACCAACCAGTCCTTGGAAAAGGACATCATACTTAGGAGGTTGGAGGGACAGCGCAGGAGGGGAAGGCCCTCTATGAGGTGGATTGATTCAGTGACTGGGATAATCGGGATGGGAGTGTCAGAGACAGTGCAATTAGCACAGGACAGAGCAGAGTTTAGGGCTGTTGTACATAGGGTCGCTATGAGTCGCAAGCAACTGGATGACACATAACAACAACAACAAGGCATTCAGTTGCTCACCACAGCCTCCCCTTGAAGTATCCTTGGAGCCTGCTTGTTTCCATAAAGGTTTACCACCTCAGAGAGAACCATAAAGGGCAGTTCTACTCAGGCCTACAGGGTTGCTGTGAGTCCAAGTGGGTTTTTGGCTTTGTTGGGATGGGGTTTTACCTCGTTTAGGGAACTACGAGTGTGTCTGTAGATTTGGATAGCAATCACAGGGTGTCAACGTCAATCTTTACCCTTAATTAAGGAACAATTTTTAAAACACACACTCCACCCAACAACCTCATTGCCCTCGGGTTGGAACCTACTCAGCTCACCACGCAGTAGTTTCTCAGCGGCTGAAAAGCATGTGGGAGATTACTCACCTTCCCTCAGAGGTTCCACCTTTGTGTTGGTAGCATAAGGCTGTTGTTGCTGCTGTGTACCATCGGGTTGGACCCATACCTGACCTGCAGGAGGGTTTTTAGAAGCAGTTAATCGCAGGGGAGGAGACTGTCCATTCTTCTCCTGCAGAGGATCTGGTGGGTTCAAATAACGTGCCTTTGGGATTGTAGTGCAGCTTCTTACTACTTGGCCAAAGAGCTCCCTACCCTAATTAGGCTACTGAGCCTTAATTGACATAACATTAAACTTAGGTTGATGATAGGGCGAAGTTCAGAGCTCTTGTTCCTAGGATCGCTATTGGTCATAGTCTATTCAGCAGTACATAACATAGGCAGTCACATTGTGCAAGGTGCATGAGAATTAACAAGCAGTGAACTGGGATGGGAGTTGGTGAGTGTTGGTTCATCTCTTCTTTCAAAAACCACTTCTGGTTCTGAGGTTCTTCCACGTCCGAAAGCAATCCCCTGCCCACCCTGGTACTCAATTTCCTCGTCTGTGGAGTAGGGAATCCTGAGCCCTTTTACTGCACTTCTGCCTCTAACTCAAATAGTGCTTCTCGGGACAAGCTCACCCCAGCAGCCTCAGGTGTGCGTGGGGTAGACGCGTAGACCCCATCCCACCCATCCCCAGCTGTGTACGACCTCACTCAGTCTTATGCGGCCTAGAGTGTCGCTGCCTTATTTGCAAGCACACAGTGCATAGGTTTTAAGCGCATTGTGAACGCTTACTGAACGCTTCTAATGTACCAGGCCGTGGCTCTGTATCCGCTGTGCTCCCAGCAAGAGAGGAAACTGTCGTGCCGACCGACGGTAAGCTCGACATTACAGTGTAGGGGGGATTCAAGCGAGGCCACAAAGTTCCTGTGTATACAGCCAAGGTGAGAAGGAGAGCGTCAATGGAAAGCATGGGGCACCCTCTAGGGCCCGGTCCCTTTAAGAGCCGGGTGGAATGTATCAAAACAGAGGCCTGCGCGCCAACTGGCCGCGCGCCCCACGTGACCGCACAGCTGATTTCCTGGCTCCAGGATTTTCTTTATTTTTCTGTTGTTGCGGCCGACGCCGGATCCGTGTTTCGAGCGTCAGCGTGTAAGCTGTTGGTGGGTGGTCTTGGTGCCTCGGTGCCCCGCCTCGCCCCTGAGCTCCGCGCGCGCCCACCGGGCCGGCCGGGGGCGAGGGTCGGGCGCGCTCGGATGGCGCACTCAGCGGCGGCCACTGCGGAGCAGAGCTGTCCCGTCCGCGTGGAGCATGATCGTCTGCGGCGCCAGTTCTCTGTCAGGCTCAACGGTAATAAGGCCTTTTGTCTGCCCCCCAGCCCGCAGTGCTGAGACTGTCTTCCAGTCCATGCGCCCACCCGCCTAGCCAGCGCCTGACCCTTAGGTCCCCGAACCCCAACCCTCGGCCCCTGGACCCTCGCCCCCACCCCCCGTCCCCTGGGTCCAAGACTCCGACCCTTGATGGGGCAATGGCAGTGTTGTGTGTCTCTCCCTCCGCCGGCTGGTTTTGTGGGAGACACTGCACTTGAACATTGTTGGCGCTGGGGAGACACTGCTCTCGGAGGTTGTTGGGGGCGCTGGGGAGACGCTGCACTTGGAAGTAGTGTAGGGGCGCAGGGGAGAGGCTGCACTCTGAGGTTGAGGGCGCTGGGAAGACGCTGCATTCAGTGGTGGTGTAGGGACGCTGGGGGGACGCTGCACTCGTAGATTGTTGGGGGCGCCGGGGAGACGCGGCACTCGGAGATGGTGAAGGGGCTCAGAGGAGACGCTGCACTTGGAGATTGTTGAGCGCGCTGTGGAGATGCTCCACTTGGAGGTGGTACAGGAGCGCAAGGGAGACGCTGGACTTGGAGGTGGTGGAGGAGCGCAGGGGAGACGCTTCATTTATAGGTTGTTGAGAGCATTGGGGAGATGCTTGCACTTGAAAGTGGTGTAGGAACGCAGGGGAGGCGTTGCACTCGGAAGTTGTTGGGGGCCCGTCTGACCGAGCACCTTAAGGGGGTGAGGGGTTGTAGGGGAAACTTCCCAGGAGAGGTGTACTAGGAGAGCCCGGGAGCGGAAAGGGTAGCCCAGTTCCAGCGGATTGTGGACAGGCTGGGTGAATGGATTTAGCCGAGAATAAAGAAGAGAAATGACAGTGCTCTTGTCACCATCCCCCTGCTGCTTGCAGGATCCTCACCAGCTCCAGCTGGGTGAGGCCTGCTGTTTGAGATCCTGGAGACGACAGTGACTGCCCCTCCTCACCTCTTTTCTTTTTTAAAAATAAACATAAAAAAATTTTTATTTTAATTGTGATTTTAACGGAAGTTTACAGAAAAGTTAATTTTCATTAATTCATTTTGCGCGTTGACCCCTCTCCTTCCCTTTCCCCTCCCCATTCATTTTTTTCCCTTTTAATACTCATTCATTGTTGCATCCTCAGCTCTTTCTGTTAATTTGCTTCCAGTTCTTGGAAACTTTGTCTTTGCTACATCCAATAGGCTGGAGAATCACCTGGGTGGACCTAGGGCTTAAGGAGAAGAGCTTCTCTTTGAGGAAGTATTTTGGACATGATACCTAGGAGACTGGCCAGATTACCAACCTTGTGCCTGTTTCTAAATCTGTAAAATGGGAAAAACACTAGTACGCCTCAGTGGCTGATTATAGAGGGTGAAATTCAGTAAAAAGAGCAGTTTCAGAGCAAGCCATAAACACAGACTAATAATTATTTCAAAATCCAAAGCAAAGGCAAGTTATCTTTCCTATGGAGAAAGGTTTCACTAATCCCTAACCCACATTCATCCATCCCTGGAGCAGAAAGGGGTTATGGAATAGAAATTTTAAATCCAAGAGCAGATGCTCCCAGCACCTCCCCACTACCACCCTCTACATTGGCAGCTTCTTTTCCCTCCTCGGTGAGCCTAACATGACTCTTTTTAGATGAGGGCGTGGATGGGGCTGTGCAGCTTCTAGTAGGAAGAGCCTTTATAGTGTCTCTTTCCATCTCTAAGAAGACAGAAGCCCCAAAATGGGGGCAGAATTTATTTGGAGGTCTGACTGAGCTGGGCTTGCCTCCCCCATACTGGCATTTCTTAGATTCTCTGTGGACCCTTTCTGGGGATCAGACTAGGTTTGATCAGACTGGCCACATCCACTGCCTTGTGTATGCTCTTCTCACAGTGTCCCTGTGAGTGCCATTTGTACCCCACATTGCAGATAAGTAAACTGAGGCTAGATCTCCACAAACTTGCTCAGCATCACATAGTGCTGGAAGCAAACTTCAGATGTGGCTGAAAGCCCCATGGCCCTATGTGTCTTCCATAGGGGAGCAGACCCTTCGGTGGTAGTGATGCCCCTTGGCCTGACCCCACCAGGACATTTAGGACCTTGATGATAAAAAGTTGTTTGACATGTCGGCATCTCCTTTCTCAGGTTTGTTAGGGCCTCAGAAGGCAGAAAGAAAAGGGAATTTTATAGGTTTGTCTTCTCTCTCTTTCAGGATGGTCCAGCCCAAACATAGCTCACCAGAGATGGCCATCTCTTGGCCAGGTGTGGTAACCTTGTCTTATCTTGCCAGTTCTAGGCTTAGTCTCTCCTGGCTACCAATAAACCTCAGCTCTGCAAAGGGAAATTGGCAGCATCCCTCCAGGCAGGGACTGCACATCTAATTTAGGCCTTTTTCTAGGCCATCTGGCCAGCCTGGATCTGGACAAGTATCTGGAATAAAGGAGAAACCCACTCAGTGTCTCAGCCTTTAGCAGAGGAGCTGCCCAGACAGCACCCTGAGACTGCCAGGTCCTTGCTGTGTGGCTGCAGACACATGTCAAGTTGGAGGCCAGCAGGGCAGCCGTATAGCTAGGCCTACCACTAACCAGAGTTAGGCTGAGGACTTCTGGTTCTGGTTCTGGTGATTTTTTAGGCTCAGAATATACTCCGAATCAATCCCTATTTATCCTTTTGCACACGGTACAGGTTGAGGGGAAACTTGTACTCCCGTTTTATGAATGGCTAAACTAAGACAAGGAAATGAAATGACTTGCCTAAGTCTCACACCTCAGCACAGAGATTCACTCCACAGATACTTAGTGAGCTCTTATTGCAAGTCAAGCAATGTTCTGGGTGCTGGGGGTCCAACCAAGCTCACAAGAAAAGCTGTGTGGGACAGTGTTGAGAAATTGGTTGCCACTCTGAATTGGAGGATTAAACTTAGTGCAGGCATAAAGAAGCCAAGAAGGGAGCCGTAATGGTATGTGTTCAGGGGAGCAGGAAGGTGGAAAGATAAAGAGGAGAGTGAAGATGGGGTCAGACAAGTAGTGGGGCAGGGGAGGGGGGTAGGGAAGGAGGAGATGAAGAGGAAGGAACAGGGGAGGAGGAGTTAGGAGAGGAGGGGTTAGGGGAGGACCGGGCAGGGGAGGAGAGGTTGGATGCAGACAAAGCAGAGAGGTGGTGACCAGTTGCACTGAGTTTCAGGAGAGGAGTCCTGACTTGTCTGGTCCCCACATCACCATTTCAGAGATGGGGAAACTGAGTTGTATGGCCAGGAGATAGCTAAGCCAGAGTCTTGGTCTCCAAGGGCTTCATCCTCTAAAGACTGGATGCAGCCAGCGGAGGGCTCATGCTCATCCTTCTCTACCTGCCCTGCCCTGCTGCCTTCAGCCAGAGGAGAATGCCCTCAGGAAAAGGGCCTTGGGCTTTAGCTGTAACTCTTCCTCAATTTCCTCATCTGTATAATGAGCATTTTAGTCTACCATCATCTCTTCCACACCTGCCCACCTGCCTGCTTTTGTCTTCTGTCTGATTGCTTTCCTGGTCATCTCAGGGTATCTTTTAAGTTTGACCTACCTGAAGCTGGGGGAGAGCAAAGGGCCCTGGGATGGGGAGACCTAGGGAAGTGTCCTCCATTCTGAGATCTGGAACTGACTCCAGCTCTGACACAGTCCCAGAAGAGAGATAGATGGTGGTAGTGATTATCCCAAGGACATGTAGCAGAGCAGAGATAGGATTCCAGGGACTGCCAGCTTAGGCTGGTTCTGTGGTGTCTGTCACCCCTGTTCCCCAGGTCACACTGCTTTCCCCAGATAAGGACCTGGCTGTGAATCAGGGTGACTCTACCCTGGCACCTTGAGCCAGGATAGCCGTATCCACAAGCCCAGCTGCCACATGCCCACAGCATGAGAGTGGCTGACAGAAAGGTCACCAGTGTCTGCTCTCAAGAGATAGCAGTAGAATGCAGTGAAGTGGGAGTGGAACCTCTTTAGGGAGAGTAGTAATATTTGGGCTCACTTTAAATTGTGAAGCAGTGGCTTACCCTTCATGAGGGGTAGAGGAGCAACTGGAGGCCACTGGGAGTAGCACCAAGGTTTGAAGTATTACCAGAAGCTGGGGACTGATGCCATGTTGACAGATTCCTGTTGCTGCCTCTCAGGGAATTAGAGGGGAGATTCTCCTGGGGTAGGTGACCAGATCAGGTGGTGACTGTGGAGAGATGGTCAAATTCATGGTAAAGCCCCACTGATGAGTTTGGTAGTGGCAGAAAGCAAGGATAGTGCCAGGTTTAGGCCTGAGCCTCTGGGATTGGTCATTTCAGGAATCTGAAGGAGTTTGGTGTTGGCCACTGGGAAGGAAAATGCTTTGGACGCTGGCCGAGTGGCAATCATAAGTAGTTGTTCTGGGTGACCTCTGAGGGCCCTCCATCAGCATGATCCCAGACTGAGGTCAGATGTCCCGCAATTGATATTTGAGTCTAATGACCCCTACCCAATGAGCTGTGTCCAGCACCTGCCCTCGTTACTCAGGACCCACTCTTATTTCTCTTCTAGCCAAAACCCCCCTTCAGTGAGCTAAACTCCATCACCCATTGTCACCAGGCCCTGTCATCAGGCTTCCCTGGACTCCAGTTTCCCTATGTGCAAAGGAGGATAAGAGAATCATACTTTTCTCTTGAGGTTATTGTGAACAGGATAGTGAGCACGTGGAAGGAGCTGGGCCCAGGCCTGTTATGGCAAAGCCCTCAAGAGCTGCCTTTCACTGCAGCCTGTTGTCTCCCAGATGATCTGAGCTTGAGCTCTAGGCTATGTTGGGTGAGGCCTTGGCTTACCTTGACCCCCTAGTGAATGTTGGGCAGAGAAGGATGAGGAAGTGTCCTCCACTGTGTTTGTCCTGAGCTGGACTCTGGCACGTGGGGTGACCAAGACCATGGGATGCTCAGGGATTGGCAGGGGGGCAGAGAATCTAACACAATGAAAGTGAGTACTCCTGGAGTCTGAAGTTGAAGGCGTATGGAAGTGAACAGATTACCATGAGCAAAGTTGC